AAAAGGTGACGGTGCTGGTGATACAAACGTTTGAGCCACTAACGGTGAATAGTGCCCATGGCAGACAGTATTGAGCACGCCGTAAGCCACCAAAAGAACCAGACGCCCAAGCATTACATAGAATACAATGGGGCAGATCTGGGGCTGACTGCTCTGGCTGAAGAAAGATCAGCTTGAAGAGTCTTGGGCCCGCTGGGTCGTATCCAGCAGCCCGCAGCACATGCCACTCGCACCGCAATTGGCGAGCTAGTTCGCCCTCTCGTTCAAGAACTGGCCCGTGTGGGATTCCACCTTGCGCCATTCGATGAAAGACGAGATCTGGTCGTAGATGTGGCGGGCTCTGAGCACGAGCTTGAGACTTTGCCCTGACCGGGTCCGCCGCTGAATGACACCGCCTTCGTATTCCGAGTCGTATTCGATGATGGCCTTGGCCCGCTGCCGCGCGGCCGCGCTCAAGTGGTCACGCAACTTCGAGAGGCCGAAGAAGAGGGCGCTGAGCTCTCCGACATTGTTGGAGTGCTGCGTGGCCCCGATGTAGCTGGAACCAGTACGCCGGGACTCCGGTTTGCTGGCGCTTTCTGACGAACGCGTCCTGGGTTTTGGCGGTCCAGGGGTCGGCGGTGTTGACAGCGAGAGCTCACGTCACAGTTCAGGCTGGATCTCGTCCTGTCCATGATGGCCCCGTCAGGCCAACCCGAGTCCCAAAAACCCGAGTCTTACGTCTTCCCGATCCGAGAGCCTCCGAAAATCACCGAGCACCCCAGAGATCTCCGAAGACAACGATGACGTCGACGACGACGGCGGCAACGATAGCACCGACTGGCGTCAGCGACGCTGGCGACGACGGCGACTGCGACCCCCTGGATCCGACGTCTTGGTTTTTCAACCACGGGGTGCCCATAACTCCCAACCCTTTCCCCTGGGCCTGTCTTCCCACCCTGGGTCCTTTCTTGACGTTCCCGGCTCGGGTCGCCGGTTATGGAGGGTCACGCAAATAGGGGATCAAGAAAACATGTTTTTGCATACTTAAGGGGCCCTTTGTTGCACTGCACCTTTTGTAGATCCTCGGCGCCGCCATCCGGCCCGCCTTTCGCTACGTGGTGAACGCCGCGGTGAGTTCTATGTGGGCCACAGAGAGGGAGAGAGCTCTCTTCTCTGACCGGCCCCAACCGGAGGGGTTACGCGGCAGCACGAGGGCCGCGCGCGCGGCCGCTGCGCGCAGCAAAAAGTGGATGCAATTCTTCGGTTTCCTTCATTTCGTGCAATGCAGCACTGGGCCCCTTGAAGGACACTTTCGAGCCACTTTTTGACCCAATGGGGCAGTTTAGGGGCATTTTTGGGACACTTTCATGCATGGCAACTTTTGGCCGCCAGCCAGTTTCGCGCATCCAAATGTCTGACCAGGTGGCGTTCGTGCGGTGCGCAGACCGCAATCACCTGGCGACACTTGCAGTTGCGCCTCGAGCTTGGGAGAGCCACCGTCAGACACCCTGCGGGCACACCGAGCGTCGCACACATTGCGAGCAGGGCCTCCGTTTCTGATTGCCCTGTTTGGGATGCCTTCGCAGACCCCCCGTTTGTGTGACCCCCCATCGCAGGCGACCCGATTGGCGTGGCCCCGTGGAGTCCCGTGGACCGTTTTCGCTTCGACTTCGCCTTTGCAGCAGAGGCGAATCGAAGACAAAACGCGGGGAAACGAAAGCACAGCGAGAACGAAAGCACTGTTTAGGTCGATCCCTCATCTGGGATCCATGACCTCTTTCCTGTCGTTGCGGGTCTTTTCTGGCGTCCGTGCCCCGCGGGCCTTCGATCACTCCCCCGGGGATCGGATCTCCATCCCGAGCCGCCTTCGGACGGCCCCCGGGGCCGGGAAATTGAGGAGGGACAAATCGGCACAGAAACAGTGACACGTCGATTCACAGGAGAAGATGGGGAAATACGAAAAGTGGAGAGGAGGACGAAGGTCCAAGTATTGGAAAATGGGGGGATCCTTGCCTTTGCGTCTATTGATATGTGTGTCCCTGGGCCCCTTCAGAAGCGGCTTCCCGAGGAAGCGTCCGCCTCGCTGTTTGTGCATCTCGGGTCTGGGAGACTGCAGCGGCGGCGGCGGGGACCGCCCCTCCTCCGCGGAGGGAGGAGGAGGGAGGCGGGAAGGAGGGAGGAGGGAGGAGTGGACGGGGGAGAATGCAATGGAGGAGGAGGAGGGAGGAAAAGGTGCAGGAGGAGAATGGGGAAGTAGTTCATTGTTTGGTTTCGGCTTATTTTTGGGATTTAGGCGTGGGTGTAGGCTTCACCTCAGGTGAAGCTCAAAGCTACGATTAAGTGATAGCTTTCAGGCTTGAGCCCAAGCTTCGTTCAACTATTGAGCAGTAGCAGTTTTGTTTTCATCTTAATTTGTCGTTGCGTGTCAGTTGTTTGTTTTCAGCGTTGCACCGTCGGTGAAAGTGATGTGCACTTTGGTTGTGTGTGTGTGTGCTGTGAGTGATGTTTTTCCCAAGCCTCTTATGGTGGTACTCGTTTTGAATAGAGCAGTGTGGTCGCGCTGTCCTCCTTCTCCTCCTCCCCCCTCCTCCCCTCCTCCTCTCCTGTCTCCTGTGGTCCCCTCTCCTCTTCTCTCGTGCCTGGGGGCTGCGAACGTAACTGTCGCCACCTTCGTGGGCTCCTGGGAGGCCCAGCGGAGGTGGGTCCCACGCGGACCACCTCCAGACCTCGCGGTGCCTTGGGGGCTGCGATCTGCGCAATTGTCGCCACTTTCGTGGGCTCCTGGGAGGCCCAGCGGAGGTGGGTCCCACGCGGATCACCTCGAGACCTCGCGGTGCCTTGGGGGCTGCGATCTGCACAATTGTCGCCATTTTCGTTGGCTCCTGGGAGGCCCAGTGGAGGTACGTCCCACGCGGATCACCTCGAGACCTCGCGGTGCCTTGAGGGCTGCGATCTGCGCAATTGTCGCCTCTTTCGTCGGCTTCTGGGAGGCCCAGCAAAGGTGGGTCCCACGCGGATCACCTCAAGACCTCGCCGTGCCTTGGGGGCTGCGATCTGCGCAATTGTCGCCTCTTTCGTGGGCTCCTGGGAGGCCCAGCCGAGGTGGGTCCCACGCGGATCACCTCGAGACCTCGCGAAGCCCTGGGGGCTGCGATCTGCGCAATTGTCGCCATTTTCGTTGGTTCCTGGGAGGCCCAGTGGAGGTACGTCCCACGCGGATCACCTCGAGACCTCGCGGTGCCCCTGGGGGCTGCGATTTGCGCAATGGTCGCCACTTTCGTGGGCTCCTGGGAGGCCCAGCGGAGGTGGGTCCCACGCGGATCACCTCGAGACCTCGCGGTGCCTTGGGGCTTGCGATCTGCGCAATTGTCGCCTCTTTCGTGGGCTATTGGGATGCCCAGCGGAGGTACGTCCCACGCGGATCACCTCGGGACCTCACCGCCCCTTGGGGGGCTTGCGATCTGCGCAATTGTCGCGACTCTTCGTGGGCTCATGGGAGGCCCAGCGGAGGTGGGTCCCACGCGGATCACCTCGGGACCTCGCCGCCCCCTAGGGGGCTTGCGAGTTGTGCAACTGTTGCCACTGTCGTGGGCTCCTGGGAGGCCCATCGAAGGTGGGTCCAACGCGGATCACTTCGGGACCTCGCCGCCCCTTGGGGGGCTTGCGATCTGCGCAATTGTCGCCACTTTCGTGGGCTCATGGGAGGCCCAGCGGAGGTGGGTCCCACGCAGATCACCTCGGGACCTCGCCGCCCCCTGGGGGGGTTGCGAGTTGTGCAACTGTTGCCACTGTCGTGGACTCCTGGGAGGCCCATCGGAGGTGGGTCCAACGCGGATCACTTCGGGACCTCGCCGCCCCCGGCCTTCAGAATGCCAGTCAGCATTGAGTGGTCCTGAGTATGATCGCCACATGTATAGAAGGGTTGGGTACGTCACAGGTTATTTTTTTCGGGGCACCTTTTGATGCTCTGGTGTGCATCTATTGGTGCACTTCTGTACACCAGACGTGCACTAGTTGTGCCCCATCGTAGTGCTGCATTTGATGCGCAAGTGTACCAATATTGCCCCTTCGTTGTGGTGCACGATGTGCGCCAGATCACCAAACGTGCACCATCGTAGTGGTGCAGCCCTTGTGAACTCGCACCAAAAATTCACTATTGAACTAACAACAAATGATGTTTTGTTTGAACTGTGCGCCAGGACAGCCTTAAGAGTGCACCGCGTGTAAAACCATGTTTGTTGCTGTGACGCAAGTAGACATACAGCAGTGTGGAACTCAAACAGTGCATTACTGCATTGTGGAGGTGGAAGCCATGCGGTGAACGCCATAGCCTGTTAGCTACGTGGTGGGAGCCATGAAGATGGAAACTATGCCGTGGTGTAAGCTATGTCGTGTAAGCTAGGCGGCATGAACTGGAGCATCAAACTAGGGGGTATACGTTGTGCGATATAAGCTTGGCTGTGTAAACCACGCGGTGCAAGCTGCATGGTGTAAACTACAGTCGGCCCGGATTAGTAGGTCGATCTTGCCAGCTCAAGTGTATCCTTGTGTCCTGTGCCTCGCGACACGTGCCTTCTTACACTCCTATGGCGATGTGGCCCTCGAGGGTCTTGTGTCCTCTCGCGTGTCCTGTCCACTCAAGGCCGACTGTATGGGATGTACGCTGTGTCGGGAAAGCCATGTCGTAGAAACTCAGAGCATGGGGCGCCCACTAGGAGGCACTGGCGGCAGCGTGGTGCGACGTCGGGAACACCATCTAGCGCACGGGGCGCCCACGAAGCGCCCACGAGGTGGCACGGGCGAGAAAAAGCCCCTTGCTGGCATTGTTAGGGGAATATTTTATCTCAACCCTGCAAGCTGCGGGAAGACAGTACGAGTTCCGGAGTAAGCAGGGCTTCTGGAGGCCTTGCTGGAGAGGAGGGGGTCGGGGGATGGACATCGGGATATCTTGCGCTGCGGGGGCGGCGGCAGCCAACTGCGGGCAGCACGGCGGCCCCCGCGGTGCCCCTTGTGGCGAGGACGCGGACGCCACCGCTGGGGCCGCCGACGGCGCGGTGTTCGAGCTCGGGCTGCCGGGGGGGGGGGGGGCGGGGGGGGGGGTAGGGGCGGCCCCCTCTTCCTCCTCCTCCTCCTTCTCCTTCTCCTCCTCCACTTCCTCCTCCTCCTCGTCCTCCTCTTACAGATCATCCCACCTCATCCTCCTTCTCATCCTCCGCCCTCCTCCCTCCTCTTCCTCCCTTCTCCTTCCTCCTCCTCCTGCTCCTCCGCCGCCTCCTCCTCCTCCTCCTCCTCCTCCTCATACTCCTCCCCCTCCTCCTCCCTCCGCACTCCTCCTCCTCCTCCTCCTCCTCCTCCTCCTCCTTTCGAGCTGTGTGCGTGTGTGTTGCCGTTGCTGGGTCGTTTCCCCCGCGCATCCCCACACATTCTCCTCATCCTCCCGTCTCGTCCTTTCTCCTGGGTTGTGGGGCTATATCTAGCTCTGCACCCCCCTTCTTCCTGCTCCTCCTTCTCCTACTCCTCCTCTTCCTCCCCCTCCTCCTCTGCAGACTGGAGCGCCGCGTGCACGCGGGAATCTACCCAATGGCTCGCAGTCGATGGGTCTTGCTTTCTCTCCCTCCTCCCTCTTCTCTCCGCCTTCTCCTCGTTGTTGGAACGTCCGTCGTCCTGTGTCGTCGTCTTCTCGTCGTCGACGTCGTCGTCGTCCTCATCGTTGTCGTCGTCGTGGTCGTCGTCGTCGTCGTCGTCTCTTTCTCTCTCTCTCTCTCTCTTGAAACCGGATCCCGACGAGCGGGACTCGCCACATCCTGAATGCCGAATGTTGCTGAATTCCCGTTCCCTTCTCCCGCTCCCTTCTCCCTCCCCTCCTCTAATTATTCTCCCGTCTCCTCCATCCTCTTCCTCCTCTTCCCTCGTTCATCCCTCCTCCTTATAAAGTAGTTTCTCCCTGTCGCACCCTGGGGCCGGTCGAACGGGCGGGCCGTGCGCTTCGCCTGGAAGGTCCTCAGCATTTCCACTCCGAAGCTTCAAAGTTTCAAAGGTTTTGCGGATGAAGGGCAGGCCGTTCTCAAAGGCTGGCTCTCGCGCTACACATCGTTCATTTTAATGTTTCGGAAGTTCTTTGATTTTTTTGGGGGCCGAGATCCTTTCATGTCTAATTGTTCTATCCTGGGCCTCTTCCTGGCCACTAGGGGGCAAGGAACAATTAGAAACGAGCACAATTAGAAATGAGCACGATTAGACATGAACGACGTGCACATTCATCTCAACATGCTGCCAAGAACTTCACGGATGGATGGCGGGTGGCGGGCCGTTTTCGAATTGTGGCTCTCGCCTTACCGCCGCGCACAGTCGTCGTCACCATTCGCAAGGAGCTTCTCGGATGGAAGGCGGGCCTTTTTCGAAGTGCGGCTCTCGCCTCGGCGGCGCACGCATTCGCCTCAAGAGTTTGCAAGAGGTTCACGGACGGAGGGCGGGAGTTTTCAACAGGCGGTTCTCGCTTCGGTGTCGTGCACATGCGCCGGAACAGCTTGCAAGGGCTGCAGGGTTGGAGGGCGGGCAATGTTTTAGATGTGGTTCTCGTCTTGCCGCCGCGCACGTGCGTTTCAAAAGGTCGCAGGCGTGACACTGATGGAGGACGGTCCGTTTTCAGACTGTAGCCCTCGTCTTAGCGCCGCGCACATTCGTCCTAAAAGCTTGCAAGGGCTTCACGGATGGGGGGGCGGTTCCTCTTCAACGTGCGACTCTCGTGTTAGCGCCGTACGCGTTCGTTTAAAGAGTTTGCAGAAGTGCCACGGATTATCATGGTCAACGTCGTCTACATCTTCTTTGGCACGATTTCGGAACGTCAGGGCGCAAAAGTGGCGTGGATTCGCGGGGTTGAAATACCAGTAATGGTGTTCTGGCACGAATCAGGGTCGTTAAGACGCAACGGTAACGGTGATTCGAGGCGTAGACGTCCCAGGAATGGTGTTCTGGCTCAGTTCTGGAATGTCAAACGTTTGTCTTCCAACAGGACATTTCTTTCAATAACATGAATTCTTGTGGGGGGCCGATGAAGAGGGACCGTGGAGGGAGGGTTTGTTGAAACATCTTTGATGGGTTTTGGGTTTACGCGCGTCCTCCTCCTTCCATCCGCCCTCCCCATCCGTCCTTTGCCCTGTATGACCGTCCCCCTCGCCGGACCACCAGACGTGTCGGTAGGGCGGCCCGGGCGCTTCGCCCCGGAACCCGCCCCCCGCTATGACCCGGAACATTCGGCATTCATTTGCACGGATGAGGGGGGGGGCATGTTCATAATGTGGTGATCGCCCTGGCGCCGCGCAGATGGACCAAAACGTGTCCAACACGTACACGTTTTGAGCACACGCCAACTGCAGCGTGTGGTTCGCGCCTCAGTGCCGCGCACATTCGTCGTAACAGTTCCCAACAGCTACGCGGATGGATGGCGGGTCGTTTTCAGGATGTGGTTTTCGCCCTGGCCGCACGCATGTTCTCTTTGACTGTTTCCAACATGTACACGGATGAAGGGCGGTGTCGTGTTTCAACATGCGGTTATCACCCCAGCGTCGTACACATTCTGTTTAAGCGCTTACAACAGTTAGACGAGCTCTCGTTTTAGCCCTGCGCACAGTCGTCTACGATTGCAAGGGCTACGCGGGCGGATGGTGGTTCCGTTTCAAAACGGCGTTTTGGCTCCATCGCCGCGCACATATTGTGTCACACGTTCCCAACCGCTGCACGGATTGAGGGCGCCTCTGTTTCAAAGTATTGCGTTTGCGTGGGGTATGTATGGGGAGCGGCTCCTTTTCAATATGGGGCTCATGCTTCCAGCTTCCTCAGGTGTCACGGGGCAATGTGCACGGATTGCTGGTGCTCAGTGGGTACTTCTTCTGGCTTGTTGACCCTAGTTCGTCGCCGCCAGTACAGCGATGTGCATATATGGCAGTACCTTGTCAAAGATGATACATTGCATGAATTCCAAGCGCATGGGGCCATGGGGGATTTGTCATTCAGGGAGATTTCCCGCAGCGAAGTGATATTATTGCAGGCGTTCATCATCATGAAACTTGGGACGGGTGGGCGCATTGCCGCATCGTTGATGCATTTTGTTTTTGTTCCCGTTCCTTCCCTCCCTCCTCCCCCGCTTCCTCCTCCTTTTCCTTTCCCCTCCCGCATCCAGCTTCTCTAGTTCAGGGGGGCACGGAGTAACCCCTTGAGTATGTTGTCTCACACTTCAGGGAGGTGCGCTGAGACCGCGGGCCATATTCGGGACGAGTCCTGTCAGTTGCAGTCTTACGTGGACGGTTCGCATGCCCGTCCCGCTTTGCAACGCCTGATGATGCTGGTTAGCAGTGTCCTGGTCGCGGTGGCAAGCCTCGTGGTGATGGACGCCAGCATCGCTGCTGGGGGCCGTCGTATGATTGGTATGCGCCGGATTTGGATTACGGTTGGCGCGACCGTGGGGACGGTTCTGACGGTGCGCTGTGTTCACAGTTCCCCAATTTGCAAATGCAAGAAACACCCCATCACGTCCAGGTTCAGCAAGCATTGCAAGAGGCCTCGTGGTGCTGGAAGCTGCCCCGCCTCAGCGCGGGGAGATGCACCGGCGGGGCGCGTCTGGACAGAGCGTGCGCTTGGTGCTGCTGCTCCTCCCGAGCCTGACTACGACGTCGCGTCGCTGGAGCAGCTCGTGGCCATTGGGGGTGGGTACGGTGATTCCACCGCGGCCACCCACTACAATATTCTCTTTCGCCGAAAAGCACAGGAGTTCAAGCCCCCGTTTGGGAAACCCGTCGATCGCCGTGTCCAGGATGTTCAGGGTCGCGCCCAGCTTCTTGAGCGTCGTCTGGAACGTGAGTTTGCGAAAATGGAGAAATCTAAAACGAGTGGTTGGCCGACAAGCACAACGCAGTGGAGGAGGTTAGCGAAGAGCTCGAGGCGGTGGACGCTACACACTTGCAGTTGGTGGCCATTCTACACCATGAAGTCAACGAACCTCCTGCACATGTTCCACAGTCTAGAAAGAGTTGCATCCGTGACGCAACCAAGGGTGCTGCTTCTTGCTTCGGCTTTGATGCCCGAGATCCTTTCGTCTGTCCCTTCTGGCGATTACGAAGTGCAGTCTTCTGGTGTAGAGAGCACTTCATCGTGCCTGTTGGCGCTTCGCAAACCGAGGGGCGACAAATAAGGGCAGCCCGAACGCGAACGCGCCAGTCGGCCCCAGAAGAGAAGGGCGACAAATAAGGGCAGCCCAGCAGCGCCAGCGGCAGGTGCTGCCGCGGCCGCTGTCCACGGCGGGGGCAACCTGCCGGGGAGACTGGCGGCGTCTTTGAAGGGCCGCGCGTCCTCTGGCCACGATGGCGCTGCTTCATGTTCGCGAGCGCGCCGCGGCAGCCCTGCGACGGCAGTCCGGGGTTCGCCCCCCCCTCAGGCGCAGACGACGCAGACGTAGGGGGACAGCGCTGGTAGTTCTGAGACGGGCAGGTGCCCCGTTGAAGCCCTGTTCCCAGATTGCGTCGCCGCCCCCCATGGGCGCGCGCGTCAGGGGGCGTCTTCGGGCCCCAGGCTTGGTTCAAACTTTTGAGCTCAAGAATGACATTTTGAATGCCGTTTGGCTGGGGTCCGCGAAGCCGTGGACACAGCGCCCCGCAGGGCAGGTAGTTCCCACCCAATAACCTATAATGATCTCTGTTGGCGCCGTTGCTGAGGCGTCGGCGCGGGCCCCGCGCCAAGGGCGGCGCGCTCTCCTCGGGGCCGCGGGGGGCCCGTCGGGCGGAGACGGGATCCTTGTTCGGGACTTCCGGGGCGCCGTGGCCCGCGGAGAGGTTTCGTAGCGGCCCCCTGGGCCCCGGGGCGCGCCGCCCCTGCGGGGGCCCAGGTCCTTGGAGTTTGGGGGTTCCAGGATTCTTCGGTGGATCTTGCGGACTCCGGGGTCTGTCATATAAGAATTGAATCGCTCTTGCTCGGCTGGAGGCGTCGATCAGCAACGGGGCGCCCCAATCTGCGACGGGCGGCGACTTCGGCGCGGGGCTGCGGGAGTTGGCCGCGCGCGACCTCGCGGGCAGCGCG